TATATATATATATATATATATATATTCATTCTATTATAGAATAGATATACAGTAATATAAGATAAAGAAAAAAGATTGAAATACTGACAATTAAAAACTGGAACTCAAATTATTTTATGACATTTGTTTATGAACATTACATTTGGGTTGTGACTAAAAAACTTTGATGGTGTTTTTTTCTGCCACTCTTGAGACTCTGAATTTACAATAAATTCTATTGTAGAAATGACATAATTTGTAGTCTGAACTGAATTATGAATGAATTACTTTTATAAATTATATGACAGAAACAGTCATGAGCAGGTCTGCACTAACTCCACAGAAAGCCCTGTGAATTTTTATGAAATATAAAAAAACAATCAATACAACATTACATTCAAATATGAAATATAATATTCATGTGAAATAATAACATATAATAAATCATAAAGTGTAATATTATATAAAATAATACATTAAATAATATTTAATAATAACGTATATTATTGATATAAATAAAAAAATATTCTATAATATAGCATACAAATTTCCCAATATTTAAATATTAGATTTTTAACTACATTCATCATGTTAAAATCCATTTACATGTTTGGAATTTCACATATTTCCTCTAAAAATCTGTGGAAAGTGTAAAAACTGATTCCTTGACTTGAATCAGTCTGACAAACCTTTTCTGACTCTCTAACACTGGTACTAAACACCTGTTGGAACTTATCAAAAGTACTAAAAGAATCATTAAACGAATCATTAATGAACTAGAACCTTTAAGTGGAACTGGAATCTGAATGATTCCCTGCTGGAGCTCTGTCCTGATCTGGCAGTAATATGCAACGTGTGTTTCCTCTCTATCTCTGTCCACTATGCGGCATCTATTTCTAATATCGAGGGCATGCGAGACTTGATTGAAGACGCTTGGGAGCGGGACAGACTTACAGTCATCTGTGCTCTGTGGCAATGCGGCGAGGTTCACAGGACACACGTACACACTCCAGGATGATTCAGCACTCAAACCCACATGCATACGGGACCCTTCGTACATTGTTAGCATCATTAGTAGACACATGGATATGAAGTTAAATGAGTCTGTATCTACAAGCCATCTACGGTTAACGTCTGAGATGGACTGATGGCGGAAATCTTTCGGAAAGAAAAACAAATGAGGTGCCATTTGAGTTAGAGGGTGCCATCTCTAAATGTCATACCCGGAGAGACGGATCAGAGATGCTGAAACCCCCCAAAAAAACAGAAGAAGAAACAGAAATAATCCCCACACAGCTGTTGCCATCCCACAACCAGCGCACAGCACAGGATGCGCACACACACACACACACACACAGCACATCCGATAACTCGCTCTCCACCCGCACAACCCCACAGTGTGTGAGAGTGTGAATATGTATGTGTGTGTGTGTGAGCGCCGTGGGAGGCTGGCTTTCAGGGTGGACGGTTACCTGGCTCTACTTCATGCCAGCTGCTGGCTTGGCTGCCGCTTCCAGGCGAGCGTCCCTGACCTGGGTAGTAGGACTCCTCTCCCGGGCTGTCCACCTCATCCTCCATGCATTTGATACGCTTTGCAGAACTGTGCGACAAAAGACAGATAGAAAGAGGGTGGATGAGTAAAATCGAACACATTTCATTCTGCAAATGTATGTTTTTTTTCTCCCAGCATTAGGGCTGGGCGACATGTCAAAAATATCTTATCAATAATCGCCTTTAAAAATATCGCGATATCCGATAATATCGTCTACGTAAGCCCCACCTCTACCACGCCCCGCCCCCGCCGAGACAACATTGCCGACATGCACCATAAACACACCACATGTTCAGTTTGGTCTTAATTATTGCCACAAAGTTTGGTTTTACTTTTCTTAGTTTGGGCTTAAACTAACAGAAAACATTAGCTTTGCTGTTATTTGGGTGTTGCTAATAATTTCAAATTATTAGTTCAACTTATAAGTTCTTATCAAATTTGTGTTTGAAATTAATTTCGTTTTGTGAGGAGAACTGTTGAGGAAAAATAATAGAACCCAATTTTAAGTTCATCATGGTGAAGTTGGACATTCTGGCGGTGATTGTAAGAATGATAAATGCATGTTGATGTCATATAATATTGTCTTGAATAAAATATGCCTATTTTCCGATGTTTCTCTTTCTTTTTGGCATTATCGCCTGTAGACACATTTCATGATGGTAAGTTTAATTTCCTTAATTATAACAATTGCAGCGTTGTTTTTAAACTTGTAGTCAAGCTATAACGGAGGCTATTTGATATTTATCATACATGACTAAAATCATGCAGGGATTAAAAACAAATTCTGAGCAAAAACGTTAAGTTTTTTTTTCCCCCCCTA